CTTATCTACCCTAGAGTTTATGAATGATAATTTCAATATTCTTGCCAACTCCCTAAAATTACCCTGTGCCCTTTCTCCTAGGCCTGCCATCAACCCAGATATTTTGTTTTTCCATATCCATAATCCATCAGTTTCTGTAAGACTGGGAGAAGTCATATGACAAGGCAGCTGAGTTCCACTTTACATTAATAAGTAATGGTTTTCTTTCCTATCCACTGTCAAATCTCAGCCCACTTGCTAGTATATTAGAGAAGCCTTCTCAGATTGCCCAGGCCAAGTACAGTCATCTTATTACATGCTTTCACTATATTCTTTTTCATCACATTTATCATAACCACAATTTTACATTTAGTTTACATTATTTGATAAAAATCTATTTTCACTATGGGAATATAAGGACCATGAAGCTATGACTAAATAGGAAGGATAATACTCATTTTATACTGTTGTTTATTGTTTGAATATTGTAGCAATCTTTGGGAGGAGGGTTGAGATGCGATCTCACTATGTAGTTCAGGCTGGCCTTGAAATCACTATGTAGCCCAGGTGGGCCTCAAACTTGTAGCGATCCTCCTGCCTCAGCTTCCTCCCAAGTGCCGGGATCACAGACATATGCCATCATGCCCAACTGAATATTATAACAATCTCTGGAAGGATTTTCTTTTTAAAAAAATGAAATCATGACTTATGTAAATTAAAATAAAGATATAAGAATTAATTTAACTCATTAGTTAATAAAGAGAGCAATGTTCTGGTAGTCTGAAATCCAAAATCAAGGTGTTGGCAGGGCTGTATTCCCTTGGGGGAGTCTAAAGAAATCCTTTCTTTACCTTTTCTAGCTTCTGCTGGCTACCAGCTTTCCACATCTTGGGGTCACATCACACTCTGTGTACATCTACCATATGGCATCATGACTCCTATTTATACCTCTGTCTTTACATTGCCTTCTCATGTGGCAAATCTTCCCTCTGCCTTATTTGTAAAAGGTCACTATAGTTGTGATATTTTTTAGGGCTCATTCAGGTAATACAAAATAATTTGGTCATACCAAAATCCTAGTTTAGTTACGCCTAATATCTTTTTTTCCTGAAGTAAGACTTTTTTTTTTAATAAGAGAGTACAACTTGGTATTTTAAGGGGCCATTATTCAAACTACTGAAGATAGTTTGCAAAAATTTTTCACCAATCAGTATCTCTTTACTCTCTTGACAAGATCTTTCATGAAGTTTGTAATTTTAATGAGGAATGGTTTATAAATTTTTCCCTTTATGTATCATATTTTTTATGTTCAGTGGATTGCTTTTTATAAGATGAGTTATAAAGATTTCAGTTCATGTTGTTTTGCCCTGTTGCTTTAAGTCTACGGAGCAACACAGTACATTACAGTGGGAAGTATATGGCAAAGGAGATATGTTCACTTCATGTCATCCAGGAAGCAGAGAGAAAGGAAAAGGATAGAGAACCACTATCTCCTTCAAGAACTTGCCCTCAGTAACCAAACTTCCCTCTATTATGTTCCACCTCTTAGTTTCCACCAGGCCAAGGACCAAGCCTGTAACATGTAGAGTTTAGGGGGTCAATTCTAGATCCAAACCATAGTATTACTCAGTCAAGATTCCTGGGAGTGAGAACCACAGAGTAGTTGCTAAGATCTCAAAACTATTCCAATGCTCAACAAGTTTGAGAAACACTGTCTTAAGAGTTTTGCTCTTTTATAGACTAACAACAATTAGCAATACCTGAGAGCTTGTCAGAAATACAAAGTCTCAGGCCCAACCCTAGATCTACTCAATTAGAATTTTCATTTTAACAAGATTCCCCTATATGATTTATGTGGATATAAAAGTTTGGCATACATCAGAATCACCTGGAGAAGTAATCAAGAGAAAGGCCCTAGCTCAATGAATCAGGATAAGGCCTATGCATCTTTGTTTTTTAGAAGTTCCTCTTGTTTTAAGTTCCATGAGAAATTCACACATTTAATAAGTAACTAACTATGCTAGCAGCACTGCAGCGGATAGCTTTAAAAATTGGGTTTTACCAGTGTAAGGCATGTCTTGACTGTTCTAGAAATCACATTCCAGTTGTCTAACAACTTTTACTGTTTACCTTTTTCTCATCTGTCAGTCCTCTCTCTTGCCCTGATGCAAAATACCATTTTAAGGTAAAGCTCACCTTCTCACAGTTCACATTTCCATTTCAGTAGTTGTAGTGCAAAGAAAACTCTTGTTTTTAGTGGAAGAAAGTTGTTCAAAAAAAGAGATTTTCAAATAATATGAAATGGAATTAACATTTCCCAAGGATAAACCACAATGTAGAAACGACAGTATTTTATATTACAAAAATGAATGTTGAATAAATATGCTTTTAATCAAAATGTACAGAATTTAATGCATATTTCAGAAGGAAAAACTTATCAGTTTCAATTTTTGTACACTTCTGAAATTTCATTTAACACCTTCCACGCAATTTTAAAATAATCTGTTTCTCTGTTGTCTCTGTCTCCTTTGCATTAGAATAATTAGACATATTTCTCTGTAATGCCTGTTTAATAACTAAGATGAGGCAGAAATATGTTGTGTGTGGAATACAAGAAGTCATTGTGAGACTCAGTAAGTGACATAACCTCTCAAATCTATACAAAAACATAAAAATAAACAAATTCTTATTTCAATCTAGTATTAACAGTTTGATTATTCCTTTAATGCTTCTATCTTTTCTACTGATCCATGTAAGTGCTTACTGGTTCATTTATGTCAACACATAATACAAAACAGAAATTAGCAATAAAGAACAGTGATTTCTATTTATAACAAAGCTTTTACAGAAATGCTATAACTGGCATGTGCCTAATCCCTTCCTATGCTCTGCCTATAAATAGAAAAATTAATAATGTCATTTCCCCCACATCCAATTGTAACTCAAAGTCTTTTCTCAATACATATTTTTAAAAAATAAATTAATATATATTTGAAGTACATAATGATTACATTTGTCATGGGGAGTTTGTATATGTACAACAAATATTAATTTTTAGTTTGTTCCCTCCCCCTTTCCTCCCGCCCTGCTCTCTTCAACTCTTTTTTTTCCGTTCCCATTCTGAAAAGCTCTATCTTCATTTTTTGTTCTGTTCTCTTTTTTAATCCCTCTTCCCTTCCCTCTCTCCCCTCTCATCCTTCTTGACACAGAGTTCAACAAACCATTACTTCCTTCCTTCACTCATTCAGCAAATAACCATTCTGTGCCATCTTCCAATATAAAGCAAAAGAGACACAGCTCCTGTCCTCATAGAACTTACATATAGTGGAAACAAAGGAACTAAAACAGTAATACCACACGTGAAATGTGACGTGAAAAATGAGATCTTTTTTGTTTTACGTGGTTTAGGATTTAGATGATTTTCACATTAAAAGATTCAGAAAATACCAAGAAATTTACATATTTCCCATACAAAGGTGTCCACCCACATTAGCCACTTACAAAGAGGTCTACTCGCATTTGCACATGATAACCCTGCAGACATCAGAACAGCGTGATGAAATGTCAAAAGCCATATGAATAAATTTAAATATATGTAAAATTATAGCATCCTGCTTAAGGACACAGGTTCTGATGTCAGACTGCCAAAGCTTGTACCGGGCTCCACACTTAATAGATTGACCGTACTATGTATTAATTTATTTAATTTTTAAAAATAAGCTTAACATCAGTGCCAATTTCATAGGTTTATCATGAGGACAAAATGAATTAATGTAACCAACCCATAAGCATTTCCTGGTACGAAGCAGGGCCTCCTCCGTCAGCATTATCCATTATAATTCAATTAAATATTCACATGTCTAGTATTATGCTAAGAGGAATGGAATTCCCTAAAACTATGGAATGTAAATGTTGACATATGATAAATCAGTTTTAAGGAACAATATATATTTCTGAAACATACAAACAAAACATATAAACAGCATGAAATGGTATCTATTCCTTGTAGCCAGTCTTCCTGATTTATGTACAAGCTTTTCACATCTTGCTACTTCTGAGCTTAACACAGTATTAATCCAATATGATGTACCAAAAGAGTAACCACAAATGTTTTGAGGCTTTGCTATATTTCAGTTGACAAATTTCTTCCCAGTTTTGACCACCAAATTGCTAACCTTTATATTGCTATTCAAGTTAATCCTTGAATTACTACAAGTTCATTGTAGTAACTTACTATATGATAACTACTGTATGAATGTTTTTCAAAAAATATTTTTAAAAAATTAATTCCAGGAAGGACACATTAATGTTTTTTCTTGATTAAAAACAAACAGGGAAGAGTTTAATTTCTGTCTTTAAAAAAAAAAAAGAAAGGGCAACTTTGGACTGTCTATCTTTGGACCAGAATACTGCCTTTTCTTTCTCAAATAAATTTTTTTTTAATTGAAATATCAGGGCAGGGGATTTAGCTCAGTGGTTCTACAGCCTGCCTCAAAAGTACAAGGTCTTGAGTTTGATCCCCAGCACCAAAAAAACCCCCAAAATTGGGATATCAAAGAAGAAATTAAGTCTGAGCAGTACATACAGTATATACAGTAAAGTATATACATAGTAATAAATGCTAAGAATAAGCAACTAAATATTAATAAGAGTTTTATGGAATTTTAGAAATGTATAGGGGACAATGCTGAGTGTTCATTGTATGTTAACTGTATCATAAATTTCCTTGATTCCAACCTTGCTCAAAGTGTACTCAGTGTGCTACAACCATCAGAACTGCCGGTTGAAAACCTAGTGAACTGATCCTATAGCTGCAAAGTGAATTAGAGTCTCCTAGGGTAAAATCCCAGGAATCTGCCTCCTAAGTGATTATTACATTTAACACAGTTCAAAAGTAACACATTAAGCTTAATGATGCGCAAGAATATTTCCACACTTATCTTTTGCTTTATTTGCTCATTTGAAATGAATTCTTATTCAATTCACTCAAATCCTTCAATAATTATTAATATATTGCCTACCATGTGCCAGGCATCACTAAGTCAAGAGCAGACTCCAAGATAAACTTTTAACTTGCTGTGACATCTGGCTAAAAAAAATTCAATAATTATTAATATATTGCCTACCATGTGCCAGGCATCACTAAGTCAAGAGCAGACTCCAAGATAAACTTTTAACTTGCTGTGACATCTGGCTAAAAAAAAACACAAACAAACAAAAAGCACTAACTCAGAACAATTAAATTTGCTGTCAGCTGGATAATTTCTAGGGCTGAATGAATACCTTTAAAGAACACAGATTCGTGTTCACGGAGTTAGCAGAAATAAGCCATTCCAGCTATCTCTGCAGACATATACTGCAACTACGACATTTCCTACAGAAATGGGAAAATTAGGGCTGATATGGCACATAAATGTGACTCCACGTGTCAACTCTAAATAATTATTCGTAGTACTGATCATTAATTGCAACCCTGAGTGCTTCACTCAGGATTGTGAAGCTGACCCTCAGTTTAGCAAGAGAAGTTTGATTACTAATGACTACCACAGATGAAAGGAACGTTTGGAAAAAGGTAACTGAACTTTTCTAGGCTTCAAATGCCTTATTGTAAGGTCACTTGGTTCCGTTTTCTTTCCATGTCCTGACCAAAAATCACAGAGTATCTTGATTGTGCTGTGACCCTGCCAGCTAGAGGTTTTCCAAGCACATCTGTGCCTAAGTTGGGGTTAGGCATTAGGTTGGTCTCTGCAGCACTGAAGCAGACCCTGGCCCTGAGCCAAAATTCCTTAAATCCTCATATAAAGGCCATACTGCCTCTCACTGCAGCCATACTTGAAATATCCCTATTCTCTTACATTCTGCCTTGAGAGAAGCCCTCTATAAATTTCCCTTGTGAATGCTTTGGACTGATCACTCTGGCATTTAGTGCTTCTTTCTTTCTTTCTTTCTTTTTTTTAAGTGCTTCTTTCTTTCTAACCCCAACCAGCCCTATCTCGACAGTATGGAATACATTTCGGTGGGAACTTCCCTGATATTTCCTGAGGGACAAAGGAAAGACCGAAAGGGAAAAGAGAACACTGCGCTGAAAATTTCAGACATCTGCAGTAACACGGCACCTCTCTGACAGAATATTTACTCCCTCTTTGGGTTTTAATTCTCCTGAAAGCTACCTCCCTATGGCACGCTAGCTGGCTGACTGGTTCTCACGGGAGGGAGCCCTTGAGCCAAGCCCAGGGGTGGCAAGCTGACACACTAAAGAAATAGGGAGCGTTGAAATACCTAAAGAGTCCCACCTTCAAAGTTTCCGAGTGACTCCGCCCTTAAAACTGACGAGTCTGAGCTGCAAAGGCGGCAAGAACCCGCCTCGAGACCGCAGGCTCCACCTCGGGAGAAGGGGCGGAACCCGTCGGTGCGTCACTTGTCGTCGCCCGTAGGCGGGGCGCTGGGGCGCTGTTCGCGGTTGTACGTAGCCTCACGTGATCCCCTCCAGCCAGCCAATAGATGAGCGCCGAGGAATTTCGAATGTGGCGGCTGTAGGGGCGGGCGACCCGAGACTGTACCGCAGGCCTGAAGCGCTGGAACGCGGGGCTCAAGCGACCGGAGACAGTTTTGAGGAGTCTTGGGATGTGAGGAAGCGGGACACAGCTGCAGAAGTATTGGCCAAGGTACCGTTTTGGACCCCTGAGGAGGGTCACCGAGTCCCCTTATATCAGCCTCAGTAATTTCGGTGTTTCTCGTGTACCTCCGAGAGAAAGGCCGCAAATTTTCAGGTGTGGAACAAGGGGGACCTGTTCGACCATTCTCGATGTTTCGGTATGGTTACTGAATTCGATGGCCGAAAGCTCAGACTGTGGAATCAGACCACCCTGACTTCTTTTGCTTCTCAACCACCATTAAATAAATGGGAACCCGAATCTTCTACCCTGATGAATTTTTTGGGTTAAGTGGTGTGCAGATAAAGGATTCACAACAGTTAGAAGCTGGTCTTCACGTAAGAACACAAAAAGGGCAGCTGTTTGGTTGTGCAGCGTGCCATCGTTGTCATCTTTTCCCTGTCCAGGATTTTGGCTCCCTTGAGTATGCAAGAGAAACCGACACGGATTAATGTTATACCTGGCTGCCTCCACAGCTGGTCTGATCACAAAATATGGGCAAAGAATAATTATTGGAGGTTCTTTTGACTGCCATATACATTGAGACCATCATTCCACAGTGACCTGTCCATATTTTCATTCGTTCTGCCCCACCCGCTGTTGACACCCTTGGCCTGGACGGGAAGTAAGATTTCTGATATAGCAAACGTCTTTTATGATTTTAGCTTGTTTTGCTGCAATAACAAAAGCTTTTTTAGATAAGGCTTTGCTTCTAAAATATCTAAACTTCATCAGTTACTTAATCTGCCTGGCTTTCAAACACCTTCAGTTCAAACTTCAAAAACTTCATTGTAGTAAATTGTTTTATGCAACCCACCTACTATTAGTGTTTTTAAAAAATAGTTACATCACTTCTACTGGAAGCATCACAATGTATTATATGTACATTCATAAAAATAAAATACTTAGTTGATCTACAGTATCCATTTAAGGCCCAGAGCCCTATTGAAAATATATGGTTTAAGAAAATATTTGACACCAAGGAGACGAAGATATACTTTATAATGAAAGTTGTATATGTAGATTGTTGTAGGAAGCAATTTTTGTTTTTTTTTTAGAATTTCAAGATCTGCAAAGTGTAGCACACAGTATAAGAAAACTGTTCATGAAAGCAGGATGTAGTGGTACGTGCCTATTATCCCAGCACTCTGGTAAGCTGAGGCAGGAATATTGCAAGCCTGAGCAACTTACCAACTCTATCTCACAATAAAATTCTTTCAAAAGGTCTGGGCTGTAGCTCAGTGCAAGGGCCCTGGGTTCAATTCCCAGTACCACATAAGAAAACAAAAATTGTTCATGCTTACAAGCATGCTGAAGCATATCTGATTTTCAGCACTGAAATATGTAATATATTTAATACGTGTTTTTTAACATCATAGCATATTATGTTGTCAGTGTGTTTTGCTATTTTTAACTTTATGTACTCTTTATGTTCCATTTGCTATGTTCATAACTTGCTGGGAATAAGACTACATTTAGCAATAACTGAGATTACTAACATATTTCTCTGCTCCAGTTCTTATTTTTTCCAGCTCTATAATTGTCGGAGCCTATTAAAGTTGTATATAGTGCTACATGTTTTATTTAAACTTCTGCAAATAGCCTTGGCTTTCTTGAATATTTGTGCCTATCTTAAGTGATACTAGGTGAAAAGGGTCGAAGAGAGACAATTAGTTGAGTGACCTAATCTAACAAATTAATAAGAAGAAAAAAGCTGGAAACACAAAACCCAAATATGTATATTGCCTTTGAATGAATGCTGTAATCCCAAACACTAGAAGGTGGGCATGAACACAAATAATAATGGCTTCAAAATGTAATAATAAGCAGGATGTGGTGGTTATATGCCTGTGGTCCCAGCTACTGGAGAGGCTGAAATTAGAAAATTGCTTGAGCCCACAAGTTCAGGTCAGCAAGGACAACATAGGAAGGTCCCATTTCAAAATAAGAAAAAATTAAAAAGGACTGAGGATGCACCTCAATGGTAGAGCATTTGACTAACATTCATGAGACCTTGAATGTACCACCAAAATAGGAAAAATAAGCATTTCTCATAGTGTCTAGACAGTGGTAGCGAACTTATGGCACACATGCCACTGAGGAGTGTTTGTTATAATTGAATACTCTAAAAGGTTCGCCATCACTTGTCTAGAAAATAAGTCTTCAGTGAGTGTTTGTTAAAGAATAACCAACATGTTATGGAATTTGGGGGTTGGAAATCAATACTCAATAATGCTTCCTCATGAAATGACCGAGGAGAATAACATGTCAAAAATATTAGTGAGATTGTTTAGATTTGGATTTTTCAAAGAGGGACATTGTATGATAGACATAAATGATTCTGACATCTGCTTTGCTTTTGTTTTTGAGATGGGGTTTCACTGTGTTGCCCAGGCTGACCTCGACCTCACTGAGTCCCATGCCTCAGCCTCCTGAATAGTTGGAATTACAGGTGCACATCACAGTGCCCAATATTAATGAGATTTTAAAGCTGCAAAATCAAAATTATCACCAGGTTAGTTAGCTACCTACTTTGAGCTAACTCCACAGTTAAGTTGCCACTTGATTCCTTTTTTATTAACAACCCATATTTTCAATTTTTAATTTATATTTGATATTCTCTCTGAGAAAACTATTTTCTGTTGTTTTAAGTTTGCAGGCAGAAGATGGCCAAGGAAAGGTGCCAGAAAAAGTCTTTTCAAGATAGTCTTGAAGACATAAAGAAACGAATGAAAGAAAAAAGGAATAAAAACTTGGCAGAGATTGGCAGACGCAGGTCCTTTATACCTGCACCATGCCAAGTGATTAGTAAGAACTGTTAATGTTGTCCTTTTACATCACTTTTTAAGTTTATATTTAATAACTGATAAGTTTATTTTATCTTCTTCTAGCCAACACTTGTACACTGCTGAAAAATTACCAAGACAACAACAAAATGTTAGTTTTAGCTTTGGAAAATGAAAAATCCAAAGTGAGAGAAGCCCAAGATATCATCCTACAGCTAAGAAAAGAATGTTACTACCTTGCATGTCAGGTATATGCACTGAAAGAAAAACTTACTTCACAACAAACAGAAGATACTGCTCAGGTATTTTTATTACAAAGGCTGAATTTTGAATTTCTTAGGGAAGAGATTTAATCAATGAATAAGAAGTTCAGATCAATTTATAACTTAATTTAATTATGGACAACTCTGTTATCACTGAATTAATTAAAACATCCTCCTGGCTCCAGCACAGGTATTTTGTTTGACCAGTTAAGAAAGCTTCAAGCATATAGGTGAACAAAGATTATAACTGCCTTAACTTGGGTCTGAAAGCAGGACAACATGCAGAAAAAAAATTGTTTAGCCTTTTGCACTGCTAGTCTTGTTTTAGTCTTGTTCCACTGAGCTAAATCCCTGGCCCTTTGAATGTTCAATTACATGAGTTGGGTGAGGGCAACTAAGCTAAAGGTTTGAAATGTTAGCTGAGGTAGACTAGTCCAAAACTTTAAATCGATGCCATCTTAAATTTTATCTTTTCTGTGTTGTTTTGCTACATCCAATGAGATTTTATAAGAAATAACTTTATTTGGCCTTAGGGAGAAATTAAGTGCTTTTGTAGAATCACTTTTAAGATAATTGGCTAAATAAGAAAGACTATATTAAACTCTCAGACAAGAAATATCCTAAACATTTGGCTGACCATTTTTTTTTTTTTTTTCGGTCCCGGGGATCAAACTCGGGACCTTGAACTTGCAAGGCAGATGGAGGAACCACTGAGCTAAATCCCTGGCCCCTGGCTGACCAAATTTTTAATCTGATTCTGTTTGTATCCCATGTTATAAAGCCAAAATATAACAGACCCGGACAGTTTATTTTAGGACATTCTTTATGTTTCGCTGTGTGATAAGTCTGAGAAGAGTAATGATGAGCCCGTTTCTCTCCCCTTTCCTCAGAAGCCATTGCCAGGGAAATGAGATGGGGAAGAGAATGAGGAAAGCAGTGGTGAGTGTCCAGTGTTAGCAGAGCAGTTTGCTTTCTCCCAGTGGCCATCTGTTTGCTGTGCCAATGAAGATGGTATGTTGGCACTTAGGCCAGGAGGCCAGATGAAAAAGCCAAACCATAGTGATTGGGGTAGGACAGTGGAGAAAGAGATTGAAGTCACTGCTCAATTGGCAGGAGCGATGAGAAAGAGTTCTTCCTTGTTACTAAATGATTCCTTATTTTAACTACATATGGTAGTGCTCGCTTTGGCAGCGCATGTACTAAAAATATTAACTACATATGGCGAAGACGCCTGTGATATATATATGTTGTATGGACATGCAGAGTATAGCTGAATTGCCTTTATACAGATTATGATTTCTGCACTTTTTTGTAACTGTTAGATTATTTTTAAATTTTTTTTTTCTTCAGAATGTAATCTTTTTCAGTTCTTTCATTTCCTGGTTCAGTCAACTAGTAGGAGGAAAATCCCTCCAAGGCACACCAGACTTCCTCCTTTCTAAACATTTGCTAGATTCACACAGTAGTATGAAATAAATACTCAAAAAGAAATAGCAGGGGAAAGAATCCTATTATTGCAGGCCCTTTAACATTTATCAACGATTTTTTTTTACTATTTATGAAAATGTTAGTTGCTGAGCAGATTAAGTCTTGGCATTTGAAACATCAAAGTTTATTTTCTGTGGTAGGCTTACTATATGTGTTTCTCATTCTCAACTGTCATTTCACACTTGTGTTTCGATGGTTAAGACAACTTAGTGTGACAGAAAAGCTTAAGTGGGTCTTTTTAACATGTTAGGGTATAGTTAAGGATTCTTTTCTCCTTTATTTAGCTTGAATAATGCTATTTTCAAACATTAGCTTTTGATATCAAATTGAAAACTTTTCCCAAGAATTAATTTCCACTACGACATGGTGACTCATGCCTGTAATCCCTCTGGAAGACTGAGGCAAGAGGATTCCAACTTCAAACCCAGATTGAGTAGCAATGATTTAGCAAGACTCTGTCAAAAATTGAAAAAACAGCTGAGGATTTCGCTCAGTGTGAAGTCCCTGGGTTCAAACCTTAAAAATTTTTTTCCAATTATTTTATTTCTGATTAACAGTTTTAGCATATTCATTATAAAGTCAATATATTGGAAGTTCATCAGATTTCAAAAATCACGAAAAATAATCACTTGAGTTAAACTAGAATGATGTCTTATGAATTAGACAGGAACTCTGGTCTTCAACACAAATCTGCAAATCTCCCTCTGTCTATACTTAATGCTCCTCACATCCCTTCTTGTTACAATAGCAGCTCCTATTAAGAGCCTGTCCTCCCCATGCTAATCAGATTCCCTTTCCTCGCCTCCTTTAGAATTTTGTCCCTCGAAATTTATTCTCCGTGCACCTCTATACTGCATCATCCAGCCATCATATAAAGGTGCTTTAGTATCTCTTGTATTAAAAGGAAAAGAAATAAAACCTCTCCTTGGGCTGGGATTTAGCTCAGTGGTTCTGCCGCCTGCCTTGCAAGCACAAAGAGCTGAGTTCAACCCCCAGTACCAAAAAAAAAAACCTCTCCTTGTCACATACAATATCTATCACATTTCTCTGCTTCTCTTCACAGCAGAACTTTTCCAGAAAGAACAGTGCAGTCACTGTCTTTATTTTTCCAGTTTCCATTCACATTTCAAATCTTTTTTGTGGTGGTGGTGGTGGTGGTGGTGGTGGTACCAAGGGTTGAACTCAAGACCTATGCACTGAACTATACCTGATTTTTTTTTTTTTTAAGACATTGTGCCACCTGGGCTGGGATCCAGTTTACTGTCCTTTTGCCCCAGTCTCCTAGGGTCCTGGGATTAGAGGCATGTGCCAACATGTCCAGCTTTCAAACTATTCCTTTCTTTTTAATAATTTTTTAGAGCTGGGTGTGTTAGTGGACACCTGTAATCCCAGCACTTGGGAGGCTGAGTTGAGAATTGCTGCAATTTTGAGGCCAGCCTGGACTACAGTCAATTCAAGACCAGCCTGGAATACATAGCAAGACCCTGTCTCAAAAAACCCCAATAATAATAAATAAATAAAATAAATAGCACTTTTATTAGTACATATTTGTGGTAAATAGCGATTATATTAATCTTAGGGCGTGGAACAGGTACCTGACACACCCATTCTTATCCTGCTTCTGTCCCTGCCATCCTCTTGTCACTGTGTATCAAGATCACCGAAACCTCCAATCTTACCAAATTCAGTGATCGTTTCTGCTTCTCACCCTCACAGGGACATACAACAGAGACTGCTCTTCACTTGTAAACTCTGCTCTCTTTGCTTTGTTGACATCCTACTTCCCTAATTTTCTTTCAACCTTCCTGACTGTTCGATGTTCGTCTCCTTTGCTGGTTGCTGCTTCTTTACTTTTAAAGGCCAGTAGTACTAGATTCCTGTCCTCCCATAGCTTTATATATATAATGTCTACCTGCTAGTGACTTTGACCTACACACACACACACACACACACACACAGCTACTTACCAGTGTTTAGGGAAGATCTCATACTTAGTATAATGCGCAGCTGCTCTTTCTTGTTCCAAACACGTTGTGTACTTCCACCTCCCTCTGTAGTTCTTCCTTATCCCAGTGAAGTGGCCTAGTCATCTGCTCAAGCCAGACCATAAGAGGCTTCCTTGCCCCTCGGTGTCCTCGCTGCTTTATCCCTATCCAATCCTTGTTCACGATTCATTATCTCAGAGCCTTCCAATGGGCTTCACCTCCACATCATGTCTTGCTTGATTCCTGTGCTGACTTCCTAACTACTTGGCTCCTTCTTTGTTTTTGTTCTTGTTCTTCTGAGACAGGGTCTCGTTGTACAGCTCAGGCTGGCCTTGAACTCACTGTGTAGTCCAGGCCAGCCTTGAACTCACAGCAGTCCTCTTGCCTCAGCCTCCTGAGTGCTGGGATTACAGGTGTGCACCACCGCACCCAGCATCCTTGACTCCTTTCATCCCATGTTTCACATAGTGGCCAAACTAATCTTTTTAAAGCTTCTCATTTTACTTTCCTGCCCTATGTTTGACTTCCCACTGCACTGAGTTTAAATTCCACACTCTTGGCTCTCAAGGCCCTACATTATCTGGCTTCGGAATATACATCTCCTGCTGGTCTCAGTGACTGTGTTTCGGCCATATCCACCTTTCTTTCTGAAAATACAACAAGGTTTGCACTTTTATTTGCTGTTCTACTGCTCTTTTTCCTCCTACTTTTTCATGAACTTATCATTTTGCAGTCTTCAGGTCAAAAACGTTCTTTCTAAAAGAGCCTTCCAACTTCAGTTTACTCTCTTGTCTTTTCACTCTGATGTTTCCTTCATAGCACTTACACCTATCTAAAATTACATATGTATCTGTTTTCTTTCTTTTTAATTTTCTCTCCTTACACTAGGCTATAAGTTTCAAGAGGATAGGATTGTATCTAATTTTTACTTGTTACAATTCCTGTTTCTAAAACTGTAATGGCACTGTAACAGTAAGTGTGTATTGTTGAATAAATGAATGCTTTGTTACAAATACTTCAGTTGAAACAATGTTTTATTCTATTTTAATGCCTTAACAGAACCAGGAAGTATGTCTCTCAGGAATGGACTCCAATAATGATGACAACCCCAGGGATTTATTTGCAAAGGATTTACCGTTAGTATTAAATTCATTACTATGATTATTAATATCAAGAAAGATTTAGTTCTCTGGTCCTTTTGTGTCATAATGACTCATATTTGGAGTCAGATGCGTGCTCTCTCTCTCTCTCTCTACTGAGAATATATTTAAGAAAATTTTATGTTAAAATAGAAACATTCATAGCTGAGTTTCTAAGAATAATAAGCTTCTCTAGAATTTTTAAACTATTTCCTTCAGTCATATTTTTCTCTGTATCATATTTTTATTCTAAGAAATTAGAAAGTTATTAAAATGGTGATACTTTGCCATTCTAAAAATAGTCTGGTTTAGGGAAAATATCCCTATATTTAACACACCTGTCACACACTGATATAAGTGATGTGTCAGACTCCACATACCCTCTTTTGTTTGTATATGAATTAGAGATTAAATGCACAGGCCTTAACTGCACATTTCAGTGAGTTTGACTGAAATATATTCCTATAAAACCAAAGACTCAATTCACATACAGAACACTGCCCATATTCTAGCTTACGGCTTCTCGGTTTTGGTATAGTGGACATCATGAGCCAAGTAATTCTCTGTCCATCCACTCTGTTCATGTGGGATGTTGTAGCATTTTTTTACCTCTGCTCATTCATTGCCAGTAACGTCCCCCTTCCCCGTTCTAAGAAGCAAAATGATTTCAGAGATCACCAACTCCCTGGGAGGGACAACTGCCCCCAGGCAGGAGCTGTTGCCATAGGCAGTTCCCTGGCTTCCCTTCCAAATCTATCCCTTTCTCACTGAAGTAACCAAAAATAGGGCTTTTTTTTTTTCAGTCATTAATAGCTTTTAAACTTTTAAACTTGATGATCTGACACAATATGTTATAAACAAAAAAGATGTACAAATCACGTTTTTATAAGATTTTTAAATAATTATTAGATACTGCAGCTCTGTATCTGTTCCCTAAACCTATATTTAATTTTTGACAACTAGAGTAGAAAATTCTGTACACTGAATAAAGAATAAAACTTCAGGTAAGATGAATTTGCAGGGAATAGGTTTTGAGAATAAAGAAAAGTTTTGTTTCATGAATCACAGAACAACAGTGTTTAAGAACTTCAGGGGGCTGGGGATTTAGCTCAGTGGTACCACGTCTGCCTTGCAAGCACAAGGTCCTAGTTTGATCCCCGGTACAAAAAAAAACAAACCTTGAGGAGAACTCAGTGGTTAGTACTATGTATTACCAACAAATCACAGTTCTGCTGATGATACAGCGATCCTCTAAAGACTTTAGCAGCCAAATTGCATTTTTAAAGATTGGAAGTCAATTTGGGTTGGCTGTTTCTCCAGTTAAATGAAATTGAATTATACCATATTTTCAGGCAGAACTATTTGACTTGATGTTAGTTCTTCCTGTGGGAGTTGAATGTCAGTCATAACAAATCAGCCTCCATATAATCAGCATACATGTTTCTTGTTTCCTTTGATAAAAAATAGATATATTGGTTTGGAATGGAATGATGAAATGATACTAAAGGAAAGAAAATGTGAAATTTAGGAAAATGTTAATTTTTTTAACCTAATTATTAAGTAAATTTCTCTTTTTCATTGACATTTTTGAAGGCAAGTTCCTTTTCAAGAAACTGACCTTCCAGGACAAGAAGAATCATCCCAAATAGAAGGTAATTCAAGCAAAAATCTTAAAATATTAAGGGCAAGACATTTGGAAACAAGTAACATAATTAAACTTCTCTAATTCTCCTTTAATTTTAACTTTGTAAATATGTTCATCTGGTGGTCTCAAGGCAAAGCAGTTTATTTTACATAATAGTAATATAAGTAAAAATAATACATTTAAATTCCATCCATTATGCCCAATCTGTAACTAGAATAAGCCCTACTAGGTGTTAAGGTCTGCATTAGGCATTTTATATGCATTGTTTCATTTAACTCACAACCACCTGGGAATATAGGTACAGTCTGTTCAATTTTATATAGGCTCACAGAAGTAAAACATCTTACAAGGAATAATCCAGACAGTAAGAAAGAGGGTTTAAACTCAAAGCTAAGGGCCAAAGCCATGCCATTCTTGGTACTTTTAAATAGATATGTCCCAGTTTTCAAATATCTGCTTTGAAGAAGGGACAGTATTGGCATAAGCAAACCCAGATGAATATCCCACTTTTCCTATAAATGTTATATTTCTTACATAAAAAGCCTTCCAGTTACCTAAATCTTACTAATTTTTCAAAGAATAACTTAGTTCCCCCCTTTTTCCATGTGTTTGTCCTACTTTTAAATCTAAGATTCTGATCCTCTGACTCTGTACTCAAAATAGTCATTTTTCTTTAAACTTTTGAACTAGGAGCACATATGTTGGAATATTTTTAAAGATTTTATAAAATCTTACACATGTTAAGTATAGCCATCAGTTGATTATTGACAAGTGTATAGATGGCAAATCTTCCAGATTTTTATTTATTTTAAATAGCTGTAAAGTATAGAATGACTTTTTTGCAATTTTGAATCCTAAGATTCTTGAAATACAAATTTCCAAAAAGTAAAACTATTTGTCATTTATTTTTTAAATTCCTAGAGCAAATACTTTCTACTCTTCAAGACACAGTGGGACCTGATTTTGATTCAAGGGAAGCTAAGTCTACTGCTAATGTCTTACCTAGAACTGTATCTCTCCGTCGCCATGTAAAGGAACATTTCAACAGTTTAAGTCATTTTGATACATTGGATAATTTTGAAACTAGTTATTTGCAAGAGCAGTCTTTTGAACTAGAAAGAATCAGACATGTAGACCCAGTAGTAAATATGCACTTAACAAAAAATGAAGAAAAAAATGTCTGTCAATGGAACAAAGACAAAATTAATTTATCACCAAGGGTGATTCAACCAGGAAAGTTTACCAAAATGAAAGAAGTCATTTTAGAATCTAAATCTGAAAAAAAAAGTCAGCATAGAGGTATACGAGTAAGAAAAAAAGAAGAGAAAAGAAAAACTAACAGAAAATCTAAGCCTACATCAAAGTATAAAGAGAACAAAAGTGAAAATCAAAAAACTGTTTGCTCCCAAAAATTGGATGAATCTATCAGTTCCAGTGATGCTTACAATTTTAATTTGGAAGAGGGTATTCATCTCACTCCTTTCCGACAAAAAACTAACACTGATTCTAATAGAGAAGAAAACAACAGGAAATCTGAAGTGAGCATCTTTGAATCCAGCAGTTCTGGAGACGATTCTGATGATCTCTATGTGCCCCACTGCAAGAATACTCAGAATCTCACAAGCACATCAGGTAGACCAGTCACCCGGCCTCGATCTAAAAGAGCGCTAAACTACACAAATGAACAAGAGGTGGAGGATTCTAAGCCAACAAAAACTCCTACCAGTAAGTGATGTTTGCCTGCATTTTTAATATTTATGGTAAATGATCACTCCTGATGCTTAATATACTATACTTTACCATCTGTTTCTCTGGGGGAGCTTAGGAACTCACCATCTGTGTCTCTGAGGATAGTGACAATCTGACTAAATAGTGGGGGGCGGGGAGTAAAATGCACAGTTGTGTCACACTGACCCACTTCGAGCAAATTTAAATCTTTAGCAGCAAATGTTGCCTATATAACTTTTTTTTTCAGTAAATGAGACCTCCCAGGCTGGGGGAGGGAGCCTTGGGAGAGTGTGAAATTATGCTGAAAATGAAATCAAACTTGAATCCAGTAACTTGTCATTTGAATGGCATGCTTTGTATTTAACAGAAACCGTGATTTAAAATAATTGTGTAGTTAATAAAGGTACACTGAGACCAAGAAACTTTTTCCTCTATTGGACCACTTAGTATTCTAAGCAAGACAACTAAAAATTATAGCTCAGAAAAATCTGGCTTTTATTAGATCGAAACTGGGTGTGGTTGCAGTGTTAGTAATATATCCTGCACCTGCCCAAAGATATTCTCAGCTGAGAATTTTAGCTGATGTGATAAAACTAGCATTTTAAAAACATTTTTTTGGTTTGGGGTTTTTTTGTTGTTGTTATTGTTGTTTTTGTTTTTTTGTGGTTTTTTGGTTTTTTGGTTTTTTCCAGACAGGGTCTTGCTTTGTAGTTCAGGCTGGCCCTGAACTCACTGTGTAGCCCAAGCTAGCCTTGAACTCACTGCAATCCTCCTGCCTCAGCTTCCCAAGTGCTGGGATTACAATGCGCTACCATGCCCAAATTTAAAAATGATTCTTAAAATACTGTACATTACAGTATTTTATTGGTCCTCAGAACAATTCTGAGTCATTATGTTTATTTTTTTATAAGGAAACTAAATCCCAAAAAAGTGAATAACATTTTCTTGTCACTAGTTAGGCAATGGTAGCTTACAGATATCTTTTAAAAAGTATGCTGCAGGGCCGGGGATTTAGCTCAGTGGTTCCGCCGCCTGCCTTGCAAGAGCAAGGTCCTGAGTTCAATCTCCAGTACAAAAAAAAAAAAAAAGAATGCTGTAGTAGCTCAGCGGTAGACTGTTGTCTAGCATGAGTGAGACCCTGGATTTGATTGCAGCACTGCAAAAAAAAAAATCATTATGCTGTACTAATAGAGTAAATCAGACAAGATTGGTAAAATGTTAATAATTGAAACTTAAAGTAAAATGGGATTCATTATACTATGGTTACCATCTTTATTTACTATTGAAAATATCCATAATAATTTTTGAAAAGTTAAAAAAAAAAACTCTTAGTCTGATCCCCAGTCTACCAGCATCAGCATTACCTGGAAACTTAAAAATGTAGAATCACAGGCCATTGGTCCATTCCTTGAATTAGAATTTGCATCTCTTCTGAATAGTTCAGGCTGGCCTTGAATTCATTATGCAGCCCAGACTGGTCTCTTAACTTGTGATCCTCCTGCCTCAGCCTCCCAAGTACTGGTATTACAGGTGTGTACCATCATGCCTGGCTAAGAACTTGCATCTCTTTTAACAAGTTCCCCTGCAGAATCATGAATACATTAAAGTTTTGGAAGCATTCCAGCAACTGATCTATCTAATAGGCTACTTATACATTTTTTCAAACTGAAAATTGGAGTAATTAACATAATACACTATGGAACTGGTGACAAAAAAAAGAGACTCTTTGGGGCTGGGGATTTAGCTCAGTAATGCCGCTGCCTGCCTCACAAGTGCAAGGTCTGGAGTTTGCTCCCCTGGTACCAAAAAAAAAAAAAGAGACTCAAACCCTGGAGCATATGGCTGCTTACTCTAAAATCATTTCGCAGCTACAACTTAGTTTGTCTTGGGATACTATTGGCATGTTAAAGCTACTCAAGATTGTTTGCCTAGCAGCAGCATCCTTGCAGGATACTGAACACCTATCTCCCAATACTGTATAGATATAGCTCCAGAGTAGAGAAACTTGTACGTCTGTGTGGGAAAAACATTGGTAATTTATTAGCTTTACTACAAGGAACACATTTTATCCTGCATTTCACAGAGCGTACGATTTAGAATTCTCATTATTTATTAGAAAAAAAATTTTTTTTTTGATACAGGGATCGAACTCAGCTCCTTGCACTTGTGAAGCAGGTGGTAGAACCACTGAGCTAAATCCCTGGACTCTAGGAAAAGTTTAAGTGGCTTTATAAAACTATAGGAAGTCACTTGATCATAAATTTAAGTATTACGTGAGATAGAAAGGACTTCATGATTTTAAGCAGCAAGATATGGCTAAAATGAAATTTCTTACTTAAACTGATTCAGTATGCCCAAACTACCATATAAGAATGTTATCTCTTAATAAAATTTCCTGACCTATAATTTCAACACTCTGGGAGGCCGAGGCAGGAAGATTGCCAGTTCAAGTACAGCCTGGTTACCTCAGCAAGATTTTGCCTCAAAATTCATAAAAAAGGGAAAAAGTGACTAAAAATATAGTTCAGTGTGAAGACCCTGGAAGCAATACCCAGTACCACAAAAACAGAAAATTAAAGTAAAATAAAATGTCCTATTATATCCCCTCTTTACATCTAACATAATTAATGTTTCAAAACTTTCTAGCCTGAAAAGGACAGAAAAAAAATAGTGAAAAGGTTTTTAAAGTCTGTATTATCCCAGATTTTATGTACATTTAAAATATATGTGTGAGTATAATTTTATTACTGTGAATTTTTCTTGGAACCGTGTTCAGTAAATTTTTTTTCTAGGTGTACCACCTAAGACTCACCCATCACCTCCATCACCTCACCGTAGCCTGAAGGATATCACCAATGTTCCCTTGTTTCCCGAAATAAAAATCAGGAGACTTTCTCTCTCTCCAGAAAAGAATAAAGAAAGCACAGCCACGTGTCTGCCTAAGCGCAGATGCACAAGCAGTGTGAACTACAAGGAGCCGACGCTTGCCTCGTAAGTATTTACGTGGAATCTCGTTTGTGGTGAGACATGTGGGAAGAGGGAAGTTATGGAACTTCAAGAATGAGTCTAACATGAACTGTAAAAATTTGGTACCTAAGCAAGAACATTAAAATTGGCGTGTTTCATAATCATTTTATACTGGAGAAGAATACGGGAATACATATAATCATGCCTAAAATCTTTTTACCCTTATAGGAAGCTAAGAAGAGGAGACCCTTTCACAGATTTGTGTTTCTTGAATTCTCCTATTTTCAAGCAGAAGAAGAATTTGAGACATTCTAAAAAAAGCATAAAGCAAATACAGTAAATGTCTTTTTGGATGCTGCTTAAATTTGTGCTACATCCTTTTCTGTTGCTCCAATAGACTGTCAGCTGGCCCACAAGTGGATGGAACTGTTGCCATAGAATATTCTCTTAACAGGGCCCTAGATCGTGAACATTTCTTCCAAACCATGATTTATAATTGTTTAGTTTTCTTATACTACCTAAACCCTTTGATTTTATTCAAAGTATATCTTATACCAACATTTTGGAAATTATAATCTTCTGGCATCTTTTATTTTTTCCCTTAAGTGGGGGATACTAGAGTATTTTTTTACATAGGATGAAGTTTTTTTGGTACTCCTTATGTAATTGTTGAGTAAGTAAATCCTTGACATTTGTAGATGACCCTAAGGTTATGGATCCTTCATATTACTGTTGTATTTGATTCTTCACGTGAAATGTTTACAGAATCACAATTCAGAGAATCAATGAATGCTCGGGCTTATGGACTAGTTGAGGGAACAGTTATGAACCCTGAGTAATATCATATTGGAAAAACCATAAGGTCCTCTGTCATGGACTCTCAGAACTCCCTACTTAGGCAAAAATCTCAAATATTAAATATGTGAATACTAAGCTTTTCTGTTTTTGATCAGCCAGTGAGAGGAAATGTGTTCAATTCAGTGTTTGACATCTATCTTCGTATGTACCACTTTAAACTTTTTTAAATCACTATAGGTGGTTCATTTTTTAAAAAACAATAAAACTTGTATGAAATATGTTTTCCTTCTGTTTTTTAAATATCAGAGTATCTATCTGGCCGTCTTTGTAGGCTTCACTGTTCTAATCCATGGACACTTTCTCTCCCTTCCCCCTTGACATTCTCTGTAACTAAGAAACTATCTGCTTCTAACCTTTAACATTTTTGTCTTCCAGCTTTTCATTGTTTAGTCTCCAGGTCCACGATCAACAAATTCTAATTTCAGGCTGAGGATGTAGCTCAGTAGTAGGGTGTTTGCATAGCACACATAATACCCTAGGTTTGATCCTCATCACACAAAAAATTACCTGACCTGGGGTGGGGGGTGTTCTTGTTTTTTAAGACAGGGTCTATGTTGTCCCAGCTAGCCTTGAACTCCCTGTGTAGCCCAGGTTGACCTCAGGCAGATTTTCTTCACTATTCCTCTGTCTACATTCCCTATCAGTCACACTCAAAATGCTTTACACCGATTTTTTTTAAGCCCTTAAGTCAATGATCCATACATACATCCTATTTTCCCATCACAGCCTCTTAACCAGTTTTATCAACCACTCCTTTTATACTTTATCTTAACTAAAAATAAATACAATTTAAAGTTCAGTTTCTCAGCCACATTTGACTAATGGTTACTATATTGTGGGCTACGCAAATATAAACATTTCTATCATCAGAAAACAGTTACCACAGAGAATCACAGCCTCTGCTATATATTTACAGTCTGTGTTGGAAACCTGAAGCTCATTCTCACCTGTGTGGCTGTGGAAAAGATGAGGTTTGTGGATCATTTGAAAGGTGCTTTGTTAAAGTCTACATAATTTGAGAAGTTTGTTTTTTACATGCTGAAGTAATTGAACTTCTTGAGTTTTCCTAGGATCAAATGACATTAGATCCCTGTAGTAGCTGGGAGTGTCGCCCAGTGGTAGTGTGTGCTCAGCATGTGGGAGGCCCTGGTTTTGATCCCCAGCCCCACAAATAAGAAAGAACTCTAATGATTTGGCTATTTGTAAAGGAAGTCAGACATAACTATTTTAAATGATTTTATTTGTTGAGATGGTAGTGGTGCTGGGATCAAACTGAGTCTCAGGTGTGCCAGGCTGTTTCATGGAGCCTTTTCAGCCTCAACGTTTTAAAAAATATGTTCTACTTTTCAGAAAAATCATTTCTCCTGTGATTGATGTTTTTTCTCTTCAGAGCCTTAGCTCCTTATGTAGTGGAGGACAGCTGAAGCTCTGAAGGTTTTTGGAGTTTGTTTTGGGAAATGTGGGAGTGTCTTTTGGTGCTGAGGGTAGGCCTCATCCTAGGCAGTCCCTGCCACTGACTGCATCTCTAATCCTCCCTTTTAGCTTTCAGAGAATTTCCTCACTGTAAAACCAAGGTCTCACTAACTGACCCTACAGTATCCGTTCTTCAGAAATATGTGAAGATTACCTGGACCATGTGAGGTGAACCAGTGTTGCCTACTACATTTGCAGAACTTTTATTTTTGCTGTCCAAGTTCTGTAGTCAGTTTTCTGTATTAATTCTACTGTCACTGTTACTGATTCTACTTTCAGCTACAGGAATGGACACTTCTGTGATTTTAAGTAGAGAAAAACATTTTTTAAAGTCTTGTGATGGGAATAAAATCTCAAGTTATGTACAAATAAAAATAAAAAAATTCTATCAGACAATGCTGCTCAAAGCCAGTAGAAGACAAACTGTAGCCTACAGTCCAAATCTAGTATACAGCCTGTATTTGGATGGTCTGCAAACTAAATGGTTCTTATGGGGCTGGGGATTTGGTTCAGTAGTTCTGCAGCCTGCCTTGAAAGCTCAAGGTCCAGAGTTTCTTATGTTTTTAAATAGTTGGAAAAAAGATTGGAATCAATTTTGATAAAATACATGAATTTTGAACCCCAATAAAGTACATAATATCCTGTCTTGCCTCTTGGACAGCAAAACCTGGAATTATTTACTTCCTGGCCCTTCATGAAGAGTTTGCTAATTCCTGTTCTAGATCATTGATTGTCTTACTTCATAGATTCTCTTCTGATCATCACCCTTCATTCCTAGAGTCAACAATTATCCTAAAATGAGGTTTTGTTTTGGTTACCGGGGATTGAACTCGGGACCTTACACTTGCGAAGCAGATGGTAGAGCCACTGAGCTAAAATCCCTGGCCCAGTTTTTGTGCTTTTAATGTTTCTGTACTCCTGTGTGTTTTAACATTTTTGCACTTAACAATTTGAACCATATTGTACACCTTTTGGCAACTGATTTGTAACACTGTTGAGATCCATGTTAGTAGATGGAGATCCATTTTCATCCATTATATAAACCAGATTGAATCAGTTCCTCTTTTGAGACAGTTTGTTTCATAACCCTGTCCAACCCAGTCCCCACAAATCAACTTTCACCCCAATCTAACATTAATCTCTTACCTCTGAATTCCCTGACATTACACTTCTTCGATTTGTCTTCTCCATTAGTAGATTTTAGTCTTAAAAGCTGACATTTTATTGTGCTAGTTTATTTCAGTATAAAGGGTGTTGAAAAGTATCAGCTACACATGGCATATGTAATTTTTTTTAAAATGGGGAGGCATATAAAATTTACCCCAGCTATGTTTATAAAAAGATGGAGAAATGTGGCTTGAATGGGATTATGTGAATTCATACACAGCTGCTCTCAAGGGATTCTGATCTTTTCAGAAGTTGGTACATAGCATCATAAAGGAATTACAGCCTTTCCTCCACCCTATTCAATAATATTTATCCATAACATGAGTATCAGCTGGAAGTGTACCTGAGTGGAGCAATAAGAAAAGTAATCAGAAAAGGGGATTATAAGATAACTGCCTTGATATGGCTGTCGCCATTTGGGTTAGCGACTGCCATTTTATACCTTAATTTAATTATACCTTAAATTTCCATTTCCTACATCACGCGTCATTGTCTGTAAGCGAAACCGCGTGAGCAAGGCTTGTCCATATAAGGAATGGATCCCAAATAATGACTGATCAATTCCCCGACCCTCTTACACCAGCCACCGCTATATAACCAAGCCCCTTCCACCCAGCTCTCTCCTCTTCCTCCTTTGCCGAGTAGGCCACTGTGCCGCAGCAGCTCTACAATAAATCTCTCATACAAGCTCTCTCGGTGTGTGGAGTGATCTTTGGCAGGCACTGGTTTCTTGCAGGGATAAGGAACTTTCTTTGGCGAGGGGTTCTACCTTCCTTATGGTTGATAAACTGTCAAAAGTAACCTAACCAGGGCTGGGGATTAGGCTCAGTAGCGCTGCCTTCCAAGTGCAAGGTCACAAGTTCCATCCCCTCAGCCGACGTGGTGGCACACAGCTGTAATCCCAGCACTCTGAGGCTGAGGCAGGGCGATCGCTGTGAGTTCAAGACCAGCCTGGGCTGCATAGTGAGTTCCAGGGCAGTCTCAACCACATAGTGAGACCCTGTCTCAAAAAAAAAAAAAAAAATTCCATCCCCAGTACCAAAAAAAAAAAGTAACTTAACTGAATACCTAAGACCCATGTAACTGCTACATGAGAATTATGTTTTTTGTTTTTTTGGGGGGTGGGGTACCAGGGATTGAACTCGGGTCCTTGCACTTGCAAGGCAGGCCACCGAACCACTGAGCTAAATCCCCGGCCCTGAGAATTATGTTTTTTAAATGTTTTAAACATGTAGGAAGGACGCTGAGCTGTGCACACAGTTTACCAATCTCCGACGTGCTTGCATGTGCTTGGGGACAGGAACAGTGCAGGCAAACTGACACACCTTGTAAGATCTCAACTAAAGCTTGGCCACAGACAGTACAAACTAAGGGCATATCATGTCAGCTCTAAAAAAGCTAAACTCACTCCTACCCAAGGGCTTTGTCGTAATATTTCTCCTATTCCATTGTTGGATAACCTACTGCACAAAAAGGCAACCTCCCAGTTTTTTGATGTTTTAAGACTAGATGTTCAAAACTAGCTGCCCATCTGTCAAATACATACGAAAAGTTAACAGAGAATGAAGATTCCTAAATCGGGCTCGCCTGTAAATTTAGGGTGATCCAAGGACCAAATGAGCTGATATGCAAAATGTACGTATGTGAAAATGTGCATTATTGTGAAAAGGTCCTCAGCCTCCATGTTCTCCAAGATTTCTTTTAAGAATAGGAATCCTAGACAAACTAAACCTGGCAACCCTTGGTTCCGTCCATAAAACCTCACGAATATACAGATACACATATAAATATACCCATAAATTATATATCACGTCTCATCTTTTCTACTCCTGATCCTGCCAAGGAAGAACAAAGGGCAGAAGGGTTGACTTGCTTTGTTGAATCAGGCTTTGTTTTAATAAACCCAGAGATAACATTTGGTTTTGTCACTGCTCGTTTCCTTTTTCTACATTGTTCTCATAAAGAAATCAGGGCCTAAATATTTGTAAGTTATAGAACTTTATGTGGTGCCGTGGTTGTTCTCCCACTACTTTGAGCACGTTGTTTACTTCATTGAAGTTCTTCCTCTAAAGTGTACCTGGGAACCTCCCACCTGACCTTTTCTTCTCTTGAAATTCATTTTCATTTCTTTATCTAACTGGGACTTAGTTAGCACTGTTTTCTTTTTTCTCATTTGCACTACTGGGGGTTGAACCTAGGAAGGTCTAAGGTGTAAGTTTTTTTAAATATTTTGAGACAAGTTCTCACCAAGTGGCCCAGGGTAGCTTCAAACTTCTGATCCTTCTGCCTGAGCCTTCTCAGTAGCTTGGATTATAGGTGTCCACCACCAACTGGCAGCAACAATTTTTGCCCTTTCAGTCTTCATCAGAATGTCACTGATAACACCAAGGCAGCCAAAGAAGAAAGACCCTTAAGACTCAAGCAGAAAAAAAATTGTATATGTATTATATATATATTTATTGTACAGGGATCGAACTCAGGACCTTGCACTTGCGAAGGAGGCACGGCACCACTAAACTAAATCCCTGGC